CCGTCTATGGCCAACGCGATTTTAGACACGAAAAAGTTGGAAGAAAGGAAAAAGAAAAGTTAGATTGTTCTGAAAGCACCATGCAGTGGCCAGTGGCTATCAAAATGTGAACACTTTTCGTCAAATTGTTAGTATTTAAATTCCACATTGTAGATGCATGAAGCCACCAAAACCATGACAAATTCTCCATTGACTCAGTTAATAAAGCTGCTATTTTCATAACACTTCAACTATGCTTTCGTCTTCTACTGGTCAAAACATTAGAAAAACTTAAGGCTGAAGAAGAGAATACAGAAGAATTCAACCGCAGACATGACAACTTCAATTCAACAATATGATGAATAACACACGCCTTCATCTCAATCACCACTTTCAAAGCAACCTATATATGCATTTCCTTCGCCTCTATTCTCTCCATCTCTTACTCAACAAAATATATACACAATACAACTCTTCCTTTTGTCTTCTCTTTTGCAAAGGTTTAATCATATATATATTCTGCTAAATAAGGTTACCAGAGATGGATATTGACACTCCACGTTTCCTTCAAATGATTTCAACTTTGGTTCTCATTCTAGTTTCTGTTCCATCACTGACTTCAGCGTCTCTCAAAGTAGGTTTCTACACCTCCACATGTTCATCTGCGGAGGAAATAGTGAGAAATGCCGTAAACAAAGGAATTTCTGAAAATCCTGGCATAGCTGCTGGTCTCATTAGGATGCATTTCCACGACTGCTTTGTTAGGGTAACTTCACTTCACTTAACTTAACTGTATTCAATAGTTTCAGTTTCTGGTTGCATATTAAAGACTGAATTTCACCATTACGTACTTTTTATTCAGGGCTGTGAGGGTTCTGTGTTGCTAGCATCTACCCCGGGTAACCCAATAGCGGAAAGAGACCATCTTGCCAACAACCCAAGCTTACGTGGGTTCGAGGTGATCGAGGAGGCCAAGACACAGTTGGAGGCTGCATGTCCTGGAACGGTGTCGTGTGCAGACATATTGGCTTTCGCAGCACGAGACAGTGCTCTTAAAGTTGGCGGCATAAACTACGACGTTCCATCAGGACGCAGAGACGGTCGTGTCTCTATCGCCGACGAAGTGGCACAGAATCTACCTGCACCAACCTCGAGTGCCGCTGAACTCGTGAGTAGATTTGCACAGAAGGGTTTGAGTGCAGACGAAATGGTGACACTTTCAGGAGCTCATTCGATCGGTGTGTCGCACTGTTCCGCCTTCTCGAAGCGCTTGTACTCTTTCAATGACACGTTCACGCAAGATCCCTCCATGGACTCTTCCTACGCCGAAACGTTGAAGACCAAGTGCCCTGCGCCACCTGCCACCTCAGACCCAACACTCTCTCTTGACCCTTCCACTCCGGTTCGTTTGGACATCAAATACTACGAGGGATTGATCAACCACCGTGGCCTGTTGACGTCGGATCAGACGCTGTTCACCACCCAGTCCACAAGAGACAAGGTCGTGAACAATGCAAACAACGGTGCAAGCTGGTCTGAGAAGTTTGCCAAGGCAAAGGTGCAAATGGGTTCCATAGAAGTGCTCACTGGCTCCAGTGGCGAGATCAGGAAGCATTGCAGCTTTGTTAATTAACTAACTCACTCACACCTGCTACACTCAAGCAAAACTCGGTCAATCACTTCTCATTGAATTCTTTTTTTACATGTTTTTGGCGGAAAATAGGTTGTTTCTTGTTGATTGAATTTGGTATTGTAAATGGCTGTAAGAGGGTGCAATGAAGCTGTGTAAATCGATGCTTACATGATTTTGATTAAAGTTGAAGTGACTGCGTTGTAGAAAGTAAGCGAGGGATGCGTTGTAG